AATTTACGCGACACACAATTAGATTTTTTTTGTTATACAAATAGAATAATATCTGATACGTATTTTATATATGTATATATATATATATATATATATATATATATATATATAGGAATACATGGATGATGAGCCTTCTCCTGTCGAAGTGAAATTGACTGATACGCTATTATTGACTGTCGATGCATGTATCTGGGGAATCACACGCGTAACCACCGAAATTTACGATCATTCGTTCTCGTCCCTGTGTGTAGCTTGAAGATCGGATATGACTTTTAATATCGTAATGGACGCCTCGAGAATATCGATGATCATTATTTCATTGTTTTCTGTTTTTTTTTTTATTTTATTTTTCGTTTTTTTTTTCAAGATAGATCGAATAACTCGAATATTTAATCATAAATCAAGTAATTATTAAGAATAATTTGTAATTCACAACTATCTTCGGAAAAGAATAAAAATTGGAACGAAAAATGAATGATATTAAATATTAATATGACAAATTTAAAATAGAAATATAAACATTATAATATTATAAACATAATTAACACTAATGATCGCACGTCTAGGGGTCGCCAGGGGTCGGAATTATTTTTGAAAAATTAATTTAGAAAAACTTTATTACATTCACGAAAAAAATTAACATAAAAAGAAACACAACAAATTTAATGTTATATCATTTTAAATATATACAAAGTTATAAATAAATAACGGCCAATAATGGTTGTTCCGGCTATCACACACATGTTGTTTGAGCGGCCCATTAAAGTGTTAAGAATATATAAATTGTCTAGTATCATTTCAATATAAAAAACTATCGAATGTAAAGTAGTTAAAGGTAGGATAGACGGCGAGTAGTGTAGAAAAGTGCGTAGGTTCGAAACATATCCGACAAGTAGTGTAAGGAAACGTTAGAATAGACGCATACTAGAGCTAATGTTATGGAAGCAAGCAAGTAGTGCATATCTAGTACTAGGCGGACGGTGAAAGGTTCGAACGCAGAGAGAGAAAGAGCCCTAACACAACAACTACGCTTTGGTTCTCCGATAACTTGGGGGCAGAAAATTGCAGGCAGCAGCAACCTCGACCGCAGTTCTCGTTCGATTTCAAATCCGAACATCGAACGATCCTCAATTTTCATGTCCGTATCGAATGGTCGACTAAGTGTCAGCGCCGCTTCCCGTCAATCATCGTTCGTTGTTGGACGAAGTGTAAACGAAATGCAATCGATCGATAGGTTGAACACCGAATGACACCCTTCCCTTTCTATTTCTTTTTCTCTCTTTTGTCCTCTTTCATAAAAGATCGATAAACGTTGACTAACTGTGGTTACTATGGGGAAAACGTTAAGAGAGTGAAATAGATAACAAAATGATAAAATAAAAGAAAAATGAATAAGTACGTTGTTCTAATTTTAAAAGAAAATAAAATTGAGTTCGCGTTTTGTAATTCGGGAAAAATTTCTTCGAAGGAATCCAAGAAAGAACTACCACCACCACCACCACCACCACTACCAGCACGAGTTTGAAATCACGAACAGAGAGGTGGTTAAAATATCATGAAAATATCGACTCCTCCTCGTTCTTCTTCGGTGGCAAAGGCGTCTTTTACATCGCGTTCGCGTTGGCAGCAGCAGCAGAAGCGAAGAGAAGCGAGTAGGAGACGACAGTTAGCGAGCCAATAGCCGTACGGAATAGCCCGGCCGAGGTCAACGGCCACCAAATGTTTTAGAATGCAATGGGGAAGGAGAGGGTGGGGTAAGGGAGAGATGTGCTGGCAAGGGTGTACCGTTCGAGTAGAGGAGGGGATCAGGACGTAAGAGAAAAAATATGCTGGAGCTGTGTGGCAAGAGCCTAGGCTCAGCTCGCGTTCTACTTTTTTTCCTTGCCCTCTCTTTCTCTCTCTCTCTTTTTCTTTCTCTCTTTAATTTTCTCTCTCTTTATCTTTCTCTTTCTTTCATTCCAACTGACACGGGGTAAGCTCGCGTGTGTAGAGCGCATTTAGAATGCATGCGTACGCGGTTGGGCTTTCAAAGAGAATGGGGATATTCTTTATCGCCAAAATTTTCTGTCTACCCAAACTGAAATCGCGCGACGACGATCGCGAGCTTCACCACCAACTAGCAGGTGCGCCTTTTAATGAGAGCCCGAACCTAGCGAAAAGGGGCTGCATGTAATCCGTCCCTTTTCTGGTGCCTGGTACCCATGGGTACTAATAATAAACGATATACCCGACTATACTTTTACACGAGCTTTTTACTCTTTCGTAATCCGTAATACGGAAGAGAGAGAGAGAGAGAGAGAGAGAGAGAGAGAATCGGCTTATTTTCAGTACGACATGTTCTTTCTCGAGTTATCTTCATTTCATAAGTGTTTTTTTTTCAAAACTTACTCTTTTAATTACATATTTATATGAAATACTAAACTTTTTTCATAAAAAAATTAGAACAGACAAGTCATTTTTTGACCCGGGGTGGATTAATTCCATCTTTTGATCTTTAATTTTCAGTAATCGAGACACTTTTGATAACGGATCGATACGTGTATGTACCTGTTGGACGTGTTCAGAATGCAAAAGCAGTCGGTATCGTGATATCGTCGATATTATTCTATATGGGAAAAGGAGGTGGAGAGGGGGGAAAATATCCGTGGTTTCCATCATACGTTTGATTTTTATCGAGTAGATTCTATTTTATCCGAAACGAAATGCTCGCGTTACGTTATGCAGGCATTTTGCTTTATATACGTCCAAGGTCGACTGACTCAGCGATCATCGAGTGGCATAGAGAAAACATCCTAATTGCATTGTTCGCCCGATGGCTTGGGAGAACCATGCAAGGGATATTATACGAGGGACATCGTATTGCACGTTGTAACAAGATAAGGGCCAAAGTTGATGTTTCAAAGCGTATAATGTACTACGTTTAGTACGCCAGCAATTTAGCACGACTAAACTCTTCTTCTCTCTTTAAAACATAAAGACTCTTTCTTTTTTCGTGGAAGAAAAAAAAATCATCAAAGCGATAAAATGAATAGCTGCGATTATTAGTCCCGAAACGATCCACCTCGTATGGCGGTGTGTGTGTGCGTACGATGTTTCACGAGGAAACGATTCAGACGAAAAATAAAGTATCATCGCGGTATGATCGATTCATTGGGCAAAAATAAATTTGGCGGACGGGTGCATGCATGCATGTATCAGTAAAAATATCCCGAGTTTTTCCGGGAATGCGAAAATCCGAGTGTAACTTTCACCCGGTTCTCAAAGGAGAAGAGAAGCTTTCTCCCACCCACTCCTCTCTCTGTCTTTATATCCTTCTCTTTCATTCCCTCTCTCTCTCTCTCTTTGATTCTATCTGTCTGTAGCGAAGTGAATCGACGATGGTTGAAAAAGTATAGAAACGCTTCTAGACCAAGTAGGCAACGTCCCTCAGCCTCGACTCCTAGCAATCCAATCAATAAATATTACAATGGAACCCCTAGAGAAGTAGGGGAGCAGCGTATCCTCCTCTCGTCCACCTCCCACCATCGTCTCTTCTCTCGTCCACCTCCTCTCTCTTTCTTTCTCATTCTCTCATACTTTACTACGGCAACGATGGTGGTAGCTAGCAGCCAGTGGTGGTGGTGGGCTGGTGGTGGTGGCGTCGTGTCGGTGGAAAAAGGACCTCTTTTCCGTCGCGCTCTCACAGCATTCCTCGTCCTGGTTCTCCCTCGTCTCGTCGTCCTCGGCTACATCTGCGAGACGTCATCTCCCTTTTTCTTCTCTCTTTCTCTATTTCGCAAGCGCCCTCGTTTGCTCGTTTCATCTCTTTTTCTCTCTCTCTCTCATTCTCTCTATTCTCCGCCTATCCCTCTCCTTCTCTTTCCACTCCCTTCTTACGAGCGCTCGGAGCGTCACCCCTTCTCTCCTCTGCCCACCACCCTCCCCTTGCCCGTGAACGTTTACATTTTACTTTTCTAGTAGCGAATTAAAACCGCGTTCATGCGCAGCCCGCGAAAGGGCGTAATGATTTTTTGAGGGGCGAATCGAGTCGGGTCGCCAACGGCAATGCCGCGGAGGGGGTAGTGGTTCGGGGCCGAGAGAGAAAAAGAGAGAAAGATATATATATATATATATATAT